AATATCATCATATTAAATATTAATATTTAAATTTAAAAATTTATTATATATTTTAATATATTAACATTTAATAAGATAATTTTTTAATACTTGGCCCTTGTGGCCCAATTGCAAGTAACATTAAAAAAGTGCATATCTTCTTTTTTGAGCAGGTTTCGAATTGCCCCAGGACAAAAAGTTCAAAAAAAGAAGATAATTTTTTAAATTTTGAATTAAATTTTAATTAAATAAAATAACATGATTTAATATTAAAATTTTAATTATTATTATTATTTTTATCTTGATTGTATAATGAGAAGTAATTATCTTTCATCTCTTATCCCATCCTACTCACATATTATGCAACTCGAACTCAAGACCTGTTACTTCCAACAAAAAGAGATAACTCCTTACTTTTAGCTAAAGGTGATAACCTCTTACTTTTACCGAAAAAAAACAATCAATGAACTATTTAAATCGTTAATAAAAATTTTTAAAATTATTTTTAAGAATTAAAATTAATATATATATTTTTTAATATTATAACTATTTATCAATTTTATTATATTTAACAGAATTCTGTATTACAATCTACCTTATAGCAGACAATAACATCAGAACTCTTGATATCAAGACTCTTGATAGGGAAAGGGAGGATTCAAAATTAAGACCCTCTTTTCTTTGAACGGTAGTGATAGTTACAGTTCATTATAGGAGGAAGTGTAACACAAGTTTTTGTATATTTAATTATCAATGTCCTTGGAAGTATCAATTCTCCTTGCAATGTTTTATCCGATATCTCTTGTAAAATAAAAACATAAACAATATCGAAATTAAACAAAACAAAATAAAATAAAACCCACGGTCCTATTTGGAAATATTTTCTAAAAAATTTTACGTAATTTTCAAAGACGGAACGGAAGGCACAGAGGAGGATCTTGTCCCAATCATTGCTGACTCCAGTCTTCCCTTTCCTTTTCTCCGCGGAAATCCCAGAACCCCCCAGCCCCTATACCTCTCAATTGTCGTTTTTTTTTTTGGGAATTTTCCCTTTATTTTGGGGGGGAAAGATAACATATTTTGAGTAGAACATCTTTGATTGCATCTGGGTCTTTCTTAATCTTGAGGTTTTGGGTTCGGTTTGGTGGTTTCTTGGAGGATTTATTGTTGTTGAGAAATGGGAAGTAGAAGAGAAGAAGAGAGAAACGAGAAAATAATAAGGGGCCTCATGAAGCTGCCTCCTAATCGTAGGTGTATCAACTGCAACAGCTTGGTTAGTATTGATTCTTTCCCTTGTGCAAATCCTGCTTTCATTTTGTCTTTTGAACAGTTAATATTTCTGGGTTTAGCCTTTCTTTTCATTTCCTAAGTTTTAGATGATGGGTTGATAGTGAAGGACCTTTTATGCTTGGTTTGTGACAGAGTAAGGGTAAAAAGGAGAGATTTTATGTTATTGTGAAAGTTCAAAGTTGTGATCTCGGGGTTCTTTCTTTTCTTTTTCTTATAATTTCTGGCCTTTTTTGCCCTGTGAACTAATGCTCACATAATTGGTTTCGATGATTTTGAGTCTAATCAGTAATCTTTTAAAATTTTTATATTAATGTGTGCAGGGACCTCAGTATGTTTGTACGAATTTTTGGACTTTTGTTTGTATGACCTGCGGTGGAATACAGTAAGTATTTTTTTTCCCTCAATTGAACTTTTAGTCATTTTGTGGTCTGATCATAGCTTCTTTTTAGCAATGCATGGTCAGTTTGTGAAGCTTTGTGTTCGGTATTTATATTTAATCTTATATGAATTGTTTTTTCTTTTTTTTTTTTTTTGGGTTGTGCAGTCGTGAGTTTACTCATCGTGTGAAGTCTGTTTCCATGTCTAAGTTTACTTCTCAGGAAGTTGATGCTCTTCAAAATGGCGGTAATCAGGTACAAGCTACTGCTGCATTTTCTCTTCTCATTGGCAACAGTTGCATGCTTATGGTATGCTGATTGGATGCTCATTATTTCACTCTTTTCAGCGTGCACGAGAAATTTATCTGAAGGATTGGGACATGCAAACACAACGGTTGTTTAGTAGCAGGTTAGAGAACACGTGATTTGTTGCCTGGGTTTCTAGCCACATGTGATGGAGTGGGATGTTTCACGGTAATTTCTTTTTCTCGCAGCAATGCTGATAAAGTCCGCGAGTTTATAAAGAATGTATATGTGGATAGAAATTATGCTGGAGGAAAGAGCTCAAATAAGCCTCCAAGAGATATGCAGGTAATTTTATTTTGTCCAATATAGTATATACATAGTGATTAGTGAGTTTCTGAAAAAACAAAATTAGTTCTGTTTTCTGAAATGACTAAAGTGGAAATAGCCATGGCAAACTTGTTTTGAAAGTTTTTCTTCTAAGATGCATTTCTGAAAATTTGAATTATTCTCCTATAGCATGGAATCTATCTGTTTGGTACCCCTGTTATTTTCTCTCTCTTTTTTTTATTTTTAAATGTCTTGTTACTGTATCTGTTTTCTTTTGATGAAAATTGAAGCTATTCTTTTTCATCTTAAAAGCTATTTGGATTTTCAGAAAGTTAACAGCACCACTATCAATTTAATTCTAAGATTCGTCTCTGCACCAAAATTCTATTTGAGTTTATCTCCCTCAACCTTGAGCAGAAGCTGTAATACTTTGTATGAATGAATTTGACAGGGCCTTAAAAACCATGAAGATGATACAAGGCGTGCCAGTTCTTATCATTCATATTCTCAAAGTCCACCTTATGATTATCAGTATGAAGATCGCCATTGCAGAAGACAAGTTGGTTCCTTTTCTAGAAAGCCTGGTTCAGATCGAGGATATTACATTGGGAAAATTTCTAGTTTAATTGGCAGTCCGGGTAGCTTAAGTGATCAAACATTTGAGGAGAGTTTCGCAAATGAGGGTTCTGCTCCTAGGGCTTCAGACTACTCACTGTTTAGTGGTGGTGATCCCTTCAGACATGGCACAGACTCTCCAAGTTTTCAGGACAGTGGATTTAGTAGCCCAACTAGTCAGCCTTCTAGAGAGGTTTTAAGTGAAGATACAAGGCATCAAACAATCAATTTATTTGCTGAGCCAAATCCCCCCATAGCTGCACAAGGGAATCCCCATATGCAGGTCATACATCTCATACTTGGTTTGAGTAGTAACAACAAGTGCAGTTTTCCAAGTTTTATTTAAAGTTTAAATGATTTACCTCGCTGGAAAGCACCCTGTTACTTGTTGAGCATCACATTTGGTAAAACGTCTCATGCTTTGGTATATTCTCTGGTGGGATGTTCCAGTAAAATTATTTTTAGCATTCAAAAGAAGAGCTTCATATTTCTTAGTTTACAATGAATCATTGGGTTGATTAATCTTAAAAGAATTTCAATAAGGCTTCCTGTTGTCTTCTATTTGTGATTATGTAGATGAAATGGTTTATGGACATATGCTTCTAAATGCATGCAGGATAGCATAGAGATGCCTGTAAAAGCATGCATGACTTCTTAAAAAGTAGCAGTATTGTTAAACACATTATGATTGACTTATTTGAGACTGAGCGCTCAGTTCAGTTGAAGTGCGCTTCTCTCTTGAAACTTGAAAACCCCCTAGTACGAGTGAGTGTTTTTGTGTTGAAGCTTCATGTGAGAGATGTAAGTAGGTTCAAGTAAATGACATTATTTATTGTTTTCTTGATCACCATGTTAGTCTCAGTGGGCTTCATTCACGTCTGTTCTTACTTTGCATGTTTAGTGGTCTACTCACTTTTCTTTGACTCATTTCAAATTGCTCTCTCATCCAGAGAACCACATCCTCAGCAAGCACTGGATCATTTGATAGCAACTTTACATCTTTCAAGTCATATAATACAAGCAGTATGGTTGATGTTGTCACAGAATCTCACCAAACTGTTGGATCCTATCAGGATAATGCATCTACTTTTCCACGATCATCTGCTCCTGTGAATTATGGTGGCCTGGATCTTTTTAATGCACCAGAGTCTTCTGCACCTCCCCCAGCTGATTTTTTTCTACCTGCAGCATCATCAGTTCCATCTACAGAAATGTTCCAACCAGCTACAGTTCCAGCCACAAGTTTGCATCAACTTCCTCAAATTACTCCATCCATAGACTTATTTGCTCAGATTGCTGAGCATTCCTCAGCTGTGAAATTGGATGTTAAATCACCAGAATTATCTATACCTAAGAATGAAGGTTGGGCCACATTTGATACTCAGCCTGCAGCATCCAATCCAGGGATTGAAAATCATTCTGCTGAAATGCTCTGCAATGGAGATTTTTCATTAAATTTTGATAATTTTTCATCCTTAAATGCAAGTACGCCATGGCCACTGTTTGAAGGCCCTGGTGCTGCTGGTGCTGGGGCTGCTTCGTCAGTATCTAGTCCATGGCAGGAAGGCTTGCACAATGTTCAAGCTCCAACAGTTGCAGCAAGCACTCAGGTAAGTCATCTCTGTTTTAAAGCAAGACCTTCCTTTATCCAGCATTCCAGTTGTTGGAAGACTTATAAACCACAGTTCTCTTCACATGATGCTGTTGCTATACTACAGTGTTGAATTATTTACTTTCATTACAAAATTAATGTTCTTCTGTTGACCTAAAACACATATTAAGGTATTTATTTTTGCATTTGACAGTTTCTATTCTTAAAAGTTAACTATTGTCCTTGGTAAATGTGTATGTTTGTTCTTAATGGTCAATTAATGCTGAAAACAAAAGGGTTTAATGTATTAAAAGAAATTTGTTCTTTTGACTTTTTTTTGACAATGGTTATGGCAAATGAAAATGAGAAATAGGACTACAATTTGGAAATAGAGTACGTTATATTGGTTGATATATGGATAGCATTTTGTCTAATGAATAATTAAATGATTCCAATTTTGTTTTGAGCAGTCATGGAATTCTTTTGAAGATTTTGTTGGACAGAATTCTCTGGAGGGTGTTAAGCAAAAGCAAAGCAATGAAAGAGATGTACTAGCATACAGGTCTTCAGTAATTGCTGATCACAATCCAGGCCTAGGAGTTTCAGAGGTTACTATGTCTGCCTAGTTATGCGGCATAAGTTTTGCTTCTGTTCTAGTTATGTTTAAATATTTCCCTTTCAGGATTCTAACAATCATGGGATTCAAAGAGCTGCCTATCATCCAGGGACATTTGTTTCCACTGTATCATCGGACTTTGGCATGACACCATTTTCTAGTCCATCGATGTTTCATCTTGTGGTTTGTAATTTTAACACACATGTGTCTTTTTTTGCATTTATTCCACTGGATTCTTATTGCATTCCTTTTAACACCTCTGATATTTATGCTTTGAGATTCCTCAAAATTTTGCAGGGAGAAAAACAATCGCATGCTGCTGATCAGAAATCAAATAATCCATTTGATCTTCCTTATGATTCTGACATGGAACATAGCAACATGGTATATCACACATATTTTGTCTATTAAAGACGTTTGTGCTGGGTTATTTCATTATAGGGATGATTCTTGTTTGAGTTCAAAATATATCCCTTCTTTTCTTCCTAGTATTGTAATCTCTTTAGTAAACATAGAAGCAGAGGGAGAATGCCATCGACTATTCCTTCAAGGCAAAAGAAATTTTGTATGATGGTATTAATATTGGTAATTATTTGTCTTTCTAATCATGTCTATGGGAGAGTACCCCTTGTACTCAATTTTATAATAAAATTTTAATTCATCTAAAAAAAAATATTGGTAATTATTGGTAGGCCCTTTTTATGCACTCATGGATAAATCCTTGGAAAAATTATCTATGTTATTTGGGATTACTAAGTAATTTTGATTGTTTTAGGTTAGTATATTATGGTTTTGATATTATCCCTCTAGCCTTCTCTCTTGCACATTCTGCATCAATATTGAGGAAGGGCATACAATACTATATATTTTTTTAAAATTAATTCTGTCATGTTTGATGTCATATTGCAGTTTTTTGATATGAGTTCTCTACAAGCTGCACTTCCTAATTTTGAAATGTCATCTACCCTTGTTACTGGTGTGTCTGAACAATGGTTTCCGCACAATCCAGTGACACCTTTTATCCCAGCAGTGCCACAAGGTGAGGATTGTTTTCTTTCTGTCTATGATTGAGGTTCAGGTTCTTATGCTTATTTTGGAACTATTATGTTTAGATCATCATTGGTAATTTCATCACCTTTTAACCATCTTATTGGACTAGCAAAAAGTTGCCAATGCTGTTGTAATGTCTTCAGTGATGGTCTGAAATGGTGAATTACATCATGAGTTTTGTATGTTTCTGCAGGTGGCCTAGCATATGTACCAGGGCAACCACAAAGCTCTCAATTACTGTAAGTTGTTATCCTGTCGTAATAGATTCCACTCATTTTATTACCTTCAATTGCTTCCATCATTATTATGCTGGGTGAACTATGGCCAGTGATGGTTTGGGTGCATTTTCTATATATACCAATCCATATTTTCTAGTACCATTAACATTTTTAAAAACCATTCTTTGTTTCAAATGTTGTATCTGTGCAGAGCATTCATGAAAAATTTCAGATTTGATTGAATTTGTTTTAACTATTTCATTCATAATACAGATTTTACACTGTTAAATATATGTGAAAAAATGTAATTGTTTGATCAAATGATTACAAATGTTGGATCAACTTGAAATTTGGCTTCCATGATATATATAAATAGAATATAATCCAAGAGAAAAGTGCGAATTAGGATGTCTTGGCATTTAAAATGCTAGGACTCCCTATGAAATTATTAAAATACCCTTAATGAATCAATGTACAAAAAAGATTCATTGAGGGTATTTAAATAATTTTGTAGGGAATCTTGGAATTTTAATTACCAGGAAGTCCTTAATTTTTCGCAATCCCATGATCCAGTGGTTGGTCTTTCAAAATATTAATTACTAGGCTGAAAATTATAAACTGGTGTAAGACTTGAAAAATCTTATATGGTTAAGCGGAAATGCATTTTGTGGATGAAAGCCTTCTAATTTTGGGTTATTCATTTGTTAAAGTGGTCTTTTTATTGGTGGAGTTGAGAATGAAGAGTGAATCCTGAACCTGTCCTCTTCTTCCTACCTAAAGTGGGGATCACAACTTTTAGGATTCTATTTTCAAAACATTGTGGATTTTGTGGAATTGAACCTTCTCGAATAACCAATTAATTTTTGCTTGTGGAACATGGTCATGCTGCCAGTTCAATTAAACTATCAGTCTCATCTCCTTACCCTTTTTTTGTCAATAACTAAGTCGCAATGTGGAGTTACTGATTCAACAAGCATCTTTGCTAAAGAAGATATATCAATGATGCCATGAGTCCATTGGTAAAATAAATAGTAGGTTGAAGATTCTGAAGGTCTAAGCTATAAATGGAATGGGTTGAATATCCCTCCCCGTCCTCCACTGTAGGGATCGGGGCATTTTGCCATCACTAGTCCAAGTTTGAAATCCCCTCACCCGTTACCCCTGCATGCAAGAATACATCGTTTCTTATCAAAAAAAGCAAAGAAAGGATAAAGAATTTAAGAGCAAAGTGTAATATAAAGCCAATCATTCTGTTGCAAATTTATCTTGTAATGCTTTTCTGAATTAAATTTACCCTCTTACAGGAATGTCCAGGCACAGGGACCTGTTGCTTCTGTTGGAGGAAATCCCTTTGCATAAAATTTCAAAGGTGGTGGCAGTATTCTAGTGCCAATGGTAGCATTTGAATCCAAATTATTTTGGTACCATTCTTTTTGAGTTCTTTACCAATTTACTAGTGTTGAAATATCACAGTTTTTGATTACATTCAATCCAGGTCGCATGTTTGTATGTGAATTATGTTTGTAATGTTGGCCTAACAAAAATATATTAGGAATGGTGATGGATAAGGTAGTGCAGCAGCAGAAATTGGATTTCCCATGAACATGTATTTGACAACACTCTTTTATATGTACAAGAAATTTGTTAATCTAAAAATGAAGATTAGTGTTATTAGTATCGTCAGCACAAGACCGTTTTGGTTTTTTAAGAGAAAACTGACATTCAGTATGCCTAGATTAGTTGGGTATAATATTCTCAAGAAAGAAAATGAAGAAGAAGAAAGATCAAGGAATAAAATACAAAAAGTGTTGTGCAATTTAGATTAAATTAAAGTGATTACACAACTTAAATCATTCAGTAGGGGTGGTCCCTTAATATTGGAAGCTGTTCTTTGAGTTAATAATTCTTACTTTGTAGTCTAAATTCTAGTGCAGGATTCTTTTATAAATACCACTCCTTTTCCTTCCAAAAATAGGCTATAACTAATTAGAGGAACTATTAATTAAAGGTTTTTAGATTTGATTTACAACATCACATATAAAATATCCTCTATAAAATATTACAAGAGTGAAACCATCAGTTATGTAATTTGGTAGTGAAATTATCTGCACTTCTGTCACAATAAAAGGTTCAAATTTTTGTCCCTAGTCTTCATGTAGAAATTTAGAAAAAAAGTAAAAATAAAAAACCTTCACAGGAGATTCATTTCCTTGTCTCTGGTAGTCTGGTTAAACATAAACTTTTTTTTTTTTTTTTCTGGAAACAAAAAGGAGAAATCAGCCTTGGAAGATTCAGGCTGAAGAAATCTACAAAAGCCTTCCTATCTAGCTCAACAGTATCCAACATTTTCCTGTGTGCCCTGTCAATGCATAAAAAATCTTGAAACTTTGCATCCAAGAGAATTTCACTGTTTCCAAACTTGGCTCGGCTTGGCCCGGCCAGTTGAACCGTACCCAATTTTAAGTACGGTTCTGGTGAATATACAAACTCATTTATGTAGTTGGCCCGGATAAAACTAGTGTGACCCACTGAAGCTAGAAAACCCAACGACTTGATGAACCGATTGGTCCATTTTTAAGGAAAAAAAAAAAAGCAATGTTTTTAGACCCACACTAGAGGTTAACTCACTTTGACCTTTGGTCCAGTTAGACCAATTGGATCGATCAAACTAGATGATTTGATTGGATGATGTCATAGATAGATTTTTTTATAAATATTATGTAATAAATATTTTTTAGCATAACATGCACAGCAGTGCCCAATGGCTTGATGGTTAAAGTAATTTTATGTAAAATATGAATTAGGTGCTCAAATCTTCCTAGTGTTAATTTCCCACCTTAATATTATTTAAAGTGTAATAAATATATTTTTGTATATTCACCCAAACCATATTTATAACCAAACACAGTTCAACCAGCCAAGTCGATCCAGTTTTGAAAATGATGAAGAAAAGGAAGTTATGCATTGCCAGTTGGATTACATGGGTTTTGAAAACATGTTTTGCATGAAAATATATTTATTATACTTTAAATAATATCAAGGTGGGAAATTAACACTTTGAAAAATTCAAACACCTGATCCACATTTTATATAAGAGAACTTTAACCATTAAGCCATTAGGAATTCCAAAAATTTTATTTATTACGTAAAATTTATAAAAAAATTTGTTTACGACATCACCCAATCAAACCGTACTATTTGACCGATCCAATTTGTCTAATTAAAACCAAAGGTCAAAATGAGTTGATCTCTGATTTGGGTTTAAAAACATTGAGAATTTCATTGTTCATCTTTTGCATCAATCCCATATTTCAACACACCTGTAACTAGCATTTAAAAGATTCAAAGATTATGTTTGAAACTACAAATTGCCCTAACATAGCATATCAATGCACAACCTACATTCTTTTTCAGAAGGAAGACACAAATATAGATTGCATTTGCCAGAAAAGTTAAATTTTCAATGTGTTTAACTTAAAAGCAAGATGACTAAGATGAGATTGGTTTTACACCTTGTACAAGCAAGACCTAAGGGTTACCTAGAAGTAATCAAATGGAAAGCTTCCTGAAAAAGGGTACTACCATATCATCAAATTAGAACTAAACATTAGAGGAACAAAGGGAAAACAATGGAAGGGGATTGATGGAGTAATATGTTACATTTTAATGAATGACTAGATTGTCCTAAAGATGCTGCACTATTAAATCCAAACTTGTATCAAGGAAAATTTTACATGAAAATGAAATTATAGCTTGTTGTAAGGTTGTCCACTTTGTATACAAAAACTATGACTTGAGAAAGATCAGTATTTTTTTCAAGCACTAAAAGACTTCTTTTCATCTCACACACACTAAAAAGGACTAGAACATTATCATATTTGTTGCCATTCCAACAACAAAAGGTTCCATTAGCAATCGAGTCAAGAAATAGAAAAGCATACCCAATGCAATAGATATAGGAAGGGCAGGCACAACTTGACAACAAACAACCAACAAATAAGAGTGCTACCAAGTCTTGAAATGATGGCAAGGTAACAAGCGTATACAATCATTATATCATGCATTGTTATCCTACCCACCAACACACTATAAAATGCAAAGTCTCTTTGGCCAAGCTAGATGCCTTTACTAGATACCATGGAATCCCTAGCACCATTCCTTCTCAACTGCTCTCTCAGGCTTCCCATTCTTGACACCTCAATAAGAGGAGACATTTCTTCATCCACTATAATTTTAAACTCTCTATTGCCAACCGCTGTAGAATACTTTGATGAGCCACCACTTGTTGAATACCTCTCCCTCAGATTAGTTACCAAGGGACCTCTCCTCTTCCTCTCTAGCCCCTTCACGTTTTGCATTGCCAAAATGCCTAACAATAACAACAGTCTACCCAGAATTTAGGCCATTTATATTTATATTACAATAGGCATTATCATTAGACACTGCTTGTAACTTCACTGACCTAGAATTAGAAACTCTAGCAACCAAAAGCCTTAAACTTGATCTTTGATTTCCTTCACCGTGTTAAACTATTGGTCGAGCTTCATATACCAAAGCTGGGAGCTCTTCATCCCTAGTTAAGGCTATTTCTACCAGCAACTTTAGTGGCCCATCAGGTACTAAAACTACCACTAAATTATAAAAAGCCAGTGCTACTAACAAAACCCATGTAGTCCACTCAGGAAAATTTGTAAATGAGATTGCCACAATAATGCCCAATGATGCCAACTACCCTAGTCTTAAGACAATTGGTATCCCACTCAAAAACATATGTAATACACCCACAATTGTAAAATTAAACAGTAGTAGGAACTAGGTATTTTTTTTTTATCAACAAATAAAATATTTTTATATTAGTGGAGTACATGGGTACTCCAAACCCACTACACTACAAATACATAAAGTTGCTTTCACAGTTAAAGGTCCCAGAGATATGACTGGGCCTACAAACCAGATTGTAATCAGCCACCGGCTTTATAAACATTTACTTGCCTTTAAGGAGGTAGGTATCCATCTTACTTTTGCCAGTTTCCAACCTCTCTCCATGATCCATTTCATGATGGTTAATCTCAAATTCATTGTTGCAATCTCTTGTGTCCTTCTTTTGGTTTTAAGCGCCATTTGTCTTGCACAAGATCTAGGCATAATGTTGTTTTACACCAGTAAAACGATCTGAACTTTATTAGCTCAAGAACCCGCTCCCAACTATTGGCTTCATCTTTAAATATTTTCTGATTACACCACAGCTAAATGGGCCAAATGGACCAAATGGTTGCAAACCAAACTACTGTCCACATTTCCTTCATGAGTCCTATGAATATCAAGCCAACGTGTTACTCAATATGTAGCCATCCTTTTCCTTGGCCAACTGCTTTGAGGTTTCACCAGTCATAGCATGATGCCCAAATGCCCCATGAAACCTTACATTTGAAGAAAAGATGATCCATGCTCTCTACTTCTAGTCCACACAGCACACATTTGTCATCATCTCGGCCTTTTGCTCCCCGCTTTGTCAACTTGTCCTTTGTTGGGATTCTATTTTGCAATAATTTTCATGCAAATGCACTCACTTTGAGAGGAACATTTTTATTCCATACCAGATCATTCCTTTGGCCAAAACCAAAGCCTACAGTGTGTTGTTAACATAAATGTTTGTATGTTGTCTTCACTGAGTACTTGCCTCCCCAGTTATGTTTCCAAGTCCATGCATCCTGTTGTCCTTGTTTTAGTGAGATTGCTTGCAGTTCCTTAATTAATTCTTGCAAAAGTTCATTTTCCCAAGCAAAAAGATTTCCTCTCTACCTCCATGCCCATTCCCACACCCCTTGGTTCCAATTACCCATTTTTGCGATGACCGCCTCCTTATCTAAAGATATCCTAAATAATCTATTGTATTTCTTCTTAAGTGGCATCTCCCCAACCCAGATGTTATGCCAGAACAAAGTATCACTTCCATCTCCTACTGATTTTAATATTCCTTCTTTCACCCAGTTTCTCGTAGACTTAATGTTCCTATCTAGATTCCACAAGTCTCTCCACCACGGTGAGCACCTACCTCCCCATTCTTGCCCCTCCCACTCATTTTTTAGAGTGAGTTTGTATTTTGCCTCCAACACCTTCCTCCATAGAGTTCCTCTCTCCTGTAACAGTCTCCATCTCCAATTTCCTAGTAAGGCTAAATTAAACATCCCAACATCTTTCACCCCTAGTCCACCTTCTCTTATACTTCTACAAACTCTACCCCAACTTACCCAAGGAATCCTATTATTTTCCTTGTTGGACCAAATTGCTTGAGATATTGGTTAACCCACTATAAGATTAAGAAATTAATAGAATAGAAAAAAAGCACCACAACAAGAAAGACAGAATTTATGTGGTTCAACTCCAATTTAATTGAGCCTACATCCATGGGCACTCACAAGGAAAAATTCACTATTAAAATAGGGAGATATAATTTGTGGTACTCTAAAAAAAAAGCCCAATCTTCAAGTACATCCAAATCTTACAGTATTTTTGAATGCAAGACACTCAAAAAACACACTCAGCAAAGTAATTTTAAGCTGCTCTTGCTCACCCTCACCCAAAGCACTCACAAAACTCTTGCATTTTCTACAGCTCACTTTGCTTTGGATTGCTTACTTGATTGCTTTGCCGAATGGCCAAATGGCTTTTGTAGCCAAAAAATCCACCACCCAAAATTAATGAAATGGGCTGCAGGGTCAAAATCCAACCATGCACAATAAATTCAATGGCCTTCAAAGTCTTAATCTTTAATTTCATGGATGCATGCAGAAGCAATATCCATTTTTGTCAAGATTTTCGACTGCACCATCTTGCCAAATAACCATCACTTTCAACTCTGCACTTTACATGCATTTTTAACACCTTTTTGACTGCCACAAGATTTCTCATGCAATCAAATTTCAAAGGCTGAAAAATTTGCATGCTTTTTCAACCACCATGCAGAACCCACATGCAGAAACATTCCTCATTTCCTCCCCTAAGAAATTTGTGTTGAATTAAAGAAATAAGGTTGAGTACCTGTTTGGGAGCCTTAATTGAAGAGAAGTAATACACAGGGATAACTGAGTTCATAGGAAGTAGGTGAGTGAATCAATAGGTATGGAGAAGTGCTTGATGATGGACAAATAAATCGAACCACCCATTGTGCCTAACACCAAGAAAAACATACAATAGAAGAGTAAAATCAAAAGACACGACACAATGGCAAGTCACTAAACTTATGAATAATACACTATTGCCAATAAAATTAGAAAGCAACATTCAACATTTTACAAATAGTTGGCATTGAAGTGGCTAACTATAAACCAAAACAATTTCATTGCTTGCCAGAAGCAATCCAAAGAGGACACAAACAACCATAAGATTACAACTAAAAATGCAACAGAAACCCAAGCTATCAAACTGGGGCAATGGGAAGCTATCATTTCAAGATCATCTGAAAATCAGTAAAACTAAACTATTGTAGCAAGGTTAAAGAGCAATGCACAAGAAAGATAACTAAACAACTTGATCAAGCAAATATGCATCAAGAAATGGTCAATTAATCATCCTATCCCAGACAAAAAAGGTAGAAAAGTGCATGTAGTTCTTCTAGAAGTTGGTGAAATTATAGTAATGCAAGACCACCAACAAAAACGTGACCATTGCATTCAGGATGATGAAGACTAAGGCATTTAGTAGGGCACCCTTAAGCTTCTGGGTTATGGGGTTGGAAGGGCTCTTGAGATAGATAAGGTTGTCGGGAGAGTGGACAGGAGTGAAGGAGGGAGAGAACTAGTTGTTAAGTGAAAGGGTGTAGACGAGAAGGACCATTGGGAATATGCAGACGAAGACCGGTGACATCACCTATGACCTCTTGCCCAATCAATTCCAGGATGCTTGACTCTATTTTTAGTGTGGATTTTTGTCTAGTAGGTGGTAGGGGAGGATTCCCTGGCCTATGGCATTTTTGAGATGGTGAATGGGGAGAAATATGAAAGATAAAAAAAGGGAAAAATATAGTAGATTTGCTATTAGTTTTTGCGAAGGAAACTATCAAGCCCATTAAGTGAAGACACTGGCCTAAATGCTTAATAACTTGATCTTGTATATTTGAGGCCTATGTTCAAATTAGGAGCGGAGAGGAGTTTAAAAATAGAGAACTATGATGTATTAAAAAAAATCTAGCTTCAACTTCAAGAGTTGGATATATTGTTAAATGTCTTTTTATAAATTAAGTTTAGGGTTTAAGACACTATAAATATCACCAAAAAAAGAAGAAAAAAATCTAGCTTGTTTGGTTTGATTCCAACTTTTATGGGGTGTTTGTTTTGCCCAAAATTCGAAATTTGTGTTTAATAAGTTCATATTTGGTTAATTGAGGATGTAACTATTTATTCGTAGAGTTGGTCACATGCTCAAGAAAATTTTTCTTTCTGTGTTTTTTTACGGAAAGACATTTCAGGGCATATAATCAGTTACACTTCTTTCAATTGAAGCAAATTACAATTAAATGTAAATTTCAATATCTCAAAAGCATTGCCAACTTATATGATCTAGTAGTAATTTCTCCTCAAAATAAAATAAGAGAACTTTATATTTCAATTTTAGGTATGCAAGTAATGGAAAAAAAAAAATAAAAGTAAAGAAAAAGGTGTGGGAATAATACGAAATCAAAAATATCTTAGAAGCATTAGTTTCAATATAACTAGTGTTTAGCCATAGTAATGGCATTTAGGCTGGTTTGGGCTAGGCCGAAGATAGGCAGTCCCAATTCTACCACAACAAGGATTGAAATTGGCTTGCTATATATATGAGTTAGTTATTTTGGTTTGGGTCTAGGTTTGATCATACTAACTGCCAATTTTTTTTAATTTTTTTTTTTTATTTTGGGTTGTATAATAAGAAGTAATATTTTCTCATCCCTTATTTCACCCCCACTTGTATGACATGCAACTTACATTTAAGATCTCTTTCTTTTACTAAAAGGAGATTATTGTTGAGTTCTTTAGATTGTTGATAATTTTCTTAAACTTGTTTTGGACCAAAAATACCTCTCAAATTAACCATTATTATAACCTAGCATAGCAAAAGGCTAAAAGTTTATAGCCTCATTTTTGCTTTCTATTTTGCCTCTTTTGGATTAAGAGAAGGACAATTTTACATGTTGGGGTCTTGGGTGTTTTGCAATGCAACATGGGCATAAGCCATGTAAGAATTTACTATTTAGGTTAGCTCATAAGGACCCAAACTCATAATGCGTCCACAAACATAAGGCTATTAAAAAGTTAGGCCTAACCCTTGTATGCCCATTATGTTTAAAGATGGCAAAATGCTGGACACTTACTGGGAATAGCATAGAGAGGAATTTCCTA